AAAAAAAAAAATTTAGCACAAATAAAACATTGAAGAAAATTGTAACTAGTATTTGAAAAAGTCAGTATTCATCTCCAAGTCCGTGTACCGTAATTCATAATTACTCTCTACTAACAGAGAGAACAAAATAAAAGAAGCCTTAAGTATACATTCATACAAACATATAAAACTATGTACAGTAAATTCTTCATTTGCGTGTGTGTAAATAATAAGCAAGTTGTCTTTCACAGTTTGGCTGACTCGATATATTCTACGTACATTACTCAGTCATGTACAACAAATCGTCGCTACGTCATAATAAATCGAAATATGTAATTTACACGTATCAGCCGCGTGTGCTGATCACACCGTGTAGATTATTGTTATCTCGGTAAAGTCCGCGTCTCTGTTTTTCTTTAACCTTCGCACTTTTCTTGCGTCCGATCGACTCGTTCTTTCACTGAAATTCATTATCTTCCTTTATCGTCGCAAGTTCTCTGTCACTCGTCGATCTAGAGTTCACTTCGTACTCGTTCGATGGGAGATAATCGAGGGAAAATCAATTAAACGGTACACACATATACACGAAAAAGGACGCTCTATCAGCACGTGGCATTCCATCGCGACCGTGAGGATAAAAATTATCAGACGTTATTATTCATTTCTACGAACGCACAATTATTACACTTACGTAATTTATACTTTGTTCGATAGCAATACATTTTTCAAGCGTGTACATATATTTTTCACAGTAATATTTTTGCTAACTCAATCTTCACACATAACTATACAGTACGATTCATTTATCACGCGAACACACAAAATTATATGTTGTTGTTTTTTTTTTATACATTAAATCACAATTATCCGTTGCCTTGTGTACGAGCTATACGTAAACCTAAAACTGGGCTATCGTGTAATAAATCTAGAGATAATTGTTTCAATAAGGCAATGGCATCTACACGTTGTTGCTACATATCATCAACACCAAAAGTACGACACACAGCTTTACCTGCACGAGTTGCAAGTTTCTCTACAGAAACACTTATCGACATGAAAAAAAAAAAAAAAAAAAAAACCTACCAACACAAGAGCTTGACGACTCTTTGTATTATTATTTGTACTATGCGCGACGAAGTAACGAAATAGTTCCGGTTTCTCAACACATGGGCGGATTGACGAAGAAGAAGACATTGAGCTCCATCATGACCGCGCCGATGAGGAAGAGCGCGTACATCAGGAGACAGGCAATGCCGACCTTTTTGTTGAGGATGAAGCCGTAAAGGGCTGTCACGGCGTAGAAGCCGATGACGCAGATGATGATGGAAAAATTGCTGTAGACAAGCGCTCCGGAGACTATGGCCACCTTCCGGCCGGTCATGAAGCACCTGATGGCCCATGGAAGTCCGAGGCACAGGAGAATGTCGAGGGTATTGGCACCCAGGGTGTTGCTCATCGCCATGTCACCGTGGCCTGCAATTACATCCATTTTTTTGAGCTTTTTTGGGCACATACACAAATTATAACAGTACAATTGGAAACACAAACCTTTTTTTTATAAATATTAATATTATTATTATTTTTTTTTTACCTGTTACTTGCTATTATATATAAGATCAGGGTCGAAAATGACAAAAACTGTTTTTCAAAGTATACTTTCTTTACATTTTTATATCAGGTTAAGATTTTTTTTTAAATTTGTTTACGAATTTAAAATATGTAATGGTAAACTGACTTGTAAATTTGTCTAAATGTATCACTTGATAGGGTATTTGTATACCAATATTTAAAAATAACCAAAACTATTGTTAACGCTTTCGTTACGCGTCGTAAGCTCATTGTAAATACAGTGTACATTATCATTGTGATAAAATGATAAATTTTTCCAGGTTTTTCCTAATTTAATTATCGGCATATCACCACTGTAAAAAGATGCTTTTCTGTGTATCAATGAGCTTTTGGATCATTGATTGATTATCATAAATTAAAGCTCGCTACTTTCTTCAAATCATCACTATCCCATCAACATAAATTTAAACTGGAAAAAAAAATGAAGAATTACGATTGTGTATCACCATAGCACTCATTATAATTACAATAAATGCATCTATAGGGTTAAAGAATCAATTGATTGTTACGAAAATGTCTTCTCAATACGGAATATCAACCTACGTTCTACCTCTACTATGAAGAATTGGATTCATTCATACTATTTCATTCATGCTGAGCTGAGGAATTTAAATAAGCGAAGTTTTATGATTTCAATAGAAATGTTTAACATTTTCCCTTATGCGATAAGAATTCATTGATCGATCGTGCGATTGATTAACGGACAATAAATGGGTGTGAAAACAAAGAAACGTTTTTTACAAAACCGATGATAAATCAATTACTAAAAAATTAAAAGTACTTGATTATTGTTGAATGTCATGAGCATCAGGAAATAAAGTAAATGTAGATTATAACAAAGATAAGCAGACTGACGGTCTTAAATTAGTTAATAAAATGATTCTTCTTCATATTAACGAGTCAATCTTACTTGACGAAGAACATTTATTAACTAATTTAAAATACATTGATTACCTCTGATCTCGGACCTTTTTTTAAAGATTGACCCATTAATTGTGTGGAAAGACAATTAAAATTATCAATTAAATAGCCTGTTGTAGGCCTCAGGTACATAATTGTTATTTGTTATCCAACACGTAATACTGAATTTATTTTTTATATCAAGATAAAGGAAAGTTAATGACTCGTGAGCTTTTAAGACGATGGATAAAAAAGGTATTCACCTAAAATTTATCATTTTTGATACAAAAAAAAAAAAGGTTTAATCCGCTATTTTATACTATTATCAATACGACTGCTGATGTAGCTATAATCCTATAAAAAAAAAAATTCGAGTACAAAAATTTCTACGACAACGGGTGCATTGGTGCAAGTAACTTGAACAAAAAAGCGCATAACGTGAGTATGAAAGCATTAGAAATGAGAAAAATTGAATTTGTCTCGTAAACGATAAGATAAACAATCTAGCGCATCAGTATGAGTCCAACGGTAGCCCCAACGCTTAACGTTGTGTAACTCGGACCGATAGAGAAATCCCCCGATCTAACTCGTTGGGACACCACCAACCGTATCTGTGCGCAGTAAGTACAAGGCACTGCTAAGATTAAAAAAAAAAAGTACCCGCAAAGGTGTACATCATCGGTCTTACCTTGGCGCGAGAGTATGACGATCGACACCATTTCCGGCAGATTACCACCCGCTGACAAAAAGGTGATTCCCATGACGGAGTCGGGAATACCAATCGTGTCTCCCACGACCGTCGTCATCCACGAGACGAGGTAGGACGATATGGCGATCCAAATAACGCACATGACAAACGTGCAAGGGTAGAATTTTCTTAGCCGTTTGTACCGGCTGTCCGGTATCGTTACGAAGAGGACGAATTTCAGGGGCCACGTGAAGACGAACCACAACTTCTCTGGCGACGTGCACTTCGATGGCCACGAGAATATCGTTTCTGGAAAATCATTGACGAGAATTTTTGATTTGGTATATACATCGAGAAGTTGAACAAAAATATTTTTAACCGCACAATTAAATTTTACCAACGCGTATAGTCTACGAAAAGATTAATTTTCATTGTTGTGAGTAAAAAAAAAAAAAAAAAAAAATTATCAATCGCAACATCATCCTTGAACCCGTAATCTTTTTTGATTGCAAGCGATAATAACAGGGTAAGCCAAAAGTTGTACCTGGCTCCTTGTAGACCTCGGGAATCGGCGTGAGGTAATCGGCGCCAGCCTCGCCGTTGGACCGAGCTTTTAATTTGCGCAAGCTGTTCCTGTACTCGGTCACAAGTTCCCCGTGGAAGTACGGCTTGTAAGTTCCAAAGGGCATCGCGTCGCTTTCTTGCTTCACGGTTTCTGAAAAAAATGTTCAAAATTGCTCGTTGTACTGATAATTCGTCCTCTTAGCTCAGGCTTTCGTACGAACGGAAAATAACTTAATCATCAGGCAATTGGAGAAAAAAAAATTTATTACTGTTCATGAGCAATTTTGGAATGTGTGTATGTCGTTGCTCGAATAAATGTAATGGACGACGTTGTTTTGGATAATTTAACGGGTTTAATTTTAATTCATGTCATTTGCTCGATGTTAAAGTTGGTACGACAGAGTTTGTAAAACACACGAGACTATTAACGTAATTGCTTCGTCCAAAAATAAGCGTAAAACACTTGTCAAACAAAATATTAGGCTTTTGAACAAATTACATTAGAAGAGACCCTTTTCCTGAAATAGATTTTCATTTAGAGACAATATTTACCTTCTTTGGCGTCAGGATCAGGGGGCGTGGGCTCCACCTTGGGGTGAGCAAACATCCTTCGGAAGGTCCGGGCAATACTGTCGTTTACGAATAAGAGGGTAAAGTAACTGAAGAACAAGATGAGCAGGACTACGGACTCGGTTAGCGTCACGTAGCCGTCCCACATGACGAAGACGAGGACGCCCACGGACAGCGCGTATATGATGCAGTCCCTCGACAGGATTTGCCATTTTAGCCGTATACCCTGCGGATCACGGTCTATTGTTATTTTTATTCTCGTCGGTGCATGCGAGTTGAAAAATTATGTCTGTATTACTTTTTTTCTACGCTATTGCGCGCTTCGTAAGGATGTTGTTATGTTACGTGGAAATTAGGGTTTAAACTGTCGCGACGAGTAAATGAAGATTGCTGCTTACATAGAACATAAATTGTACGTGGTATAATTGTCTACAAATGCTATTTGAGTGTGTCATTGAATCGCACGAGTAGGATGGTTTTATTGGCGTCTTACTGATATTTAGGTCAGAAATAAGTGGACGTAAAAATAAAACCAAACGTTGCACTCGTGTTTTAAATTTGTACACCATCCCCATCAAGGATTAGCGTGATTACTTGCTCAAATACATCACCATACAGTTTTTAATCAAATTGCAATAAAAACAATATTTTGAAAGAAAAAACATAAGAATACTTGCTTAAATATTTTAAAGTAATTTTTAGTCTCAACAATCATATGCATCCGCCTTTTTTCAGAAAAATTCCTTGTTGGGGTTTGTATTGCGAATAAAAATAAAGAATGATTTTTCTCGCAAAAATAACTTGATAAAAAAAGAAAACAAAGGTCAAACCTGAGCAGCAAAGAGCGCTCCGACGGCGGGGGTGGCGAATGTGTTGAAAACAGCTCCACCGACGACGGTGCCAATACCGAGATCGGACTCGGTGAGAAATGTGCCCACGACATTGATGAATAGCTCGGGGAAACAACTGGCCGTGGCGAGGAACGTGGCCCCAGCAACATCGGCGCTTATCCTCAGGTCGGCGCAGATGCAGTCGAGGGACGGCAGCAGGTAGTCGTTGCACACGTACGCCGTGAGGAGGAAGCAGTAGAGCCCGAACAGGACGTGCAGGGCAACCGCACCGCGTTGGCGCTCCCACCTCGTGAACAGGTCCTCGGGAAAGTCCTCTATCGAGTGGTGGGAGCAGTTTTCGTCCTCCACCACCGCCTCGAGGATAGCGGCTGATTTTTTCGGTTGGGACGAGCTGGCATTTTCGACGCTTCTTGGCAATGCCGGTGCTGTTGATCATAATTTCATTGAGCGATAAAAGGGGTAACTCGAGGTGGTTTACGCGAACATTAAAGGAGACGACGAAAAATGTACTTTTCGGGGTTTTATGGGTAAGCTTAAATGACGATTGCAGTTATTGAGTACGGATGCGCCGCTTCGCCTGACGGTTTTTGTGTGCAGTGATGCAAAGGACAACGTCTCTATAGATAAGATAAACAAATCCGACTTACGTGAAAATAAAAGCCGGGGAAAAATATATATATATATATATACACAAAAAAAAGGTATTCACCTAAAATTTATCATTTTTGATACAAAAAAAAAAAAGGTTTAATCCGCTATTTTATACTATTATCAATACGACTGCTGATGTAGCTATAATCCTATAAAAAAAAAAATTCGAGTACAAAAATTTCTACGACAACGGGTGCATTGGTGCAAGTAACTTGAACAAAAAAGCGCATAACGTGAGTATGAAAGCATTAGAAATGAGAAAAATTGAATTTGTCTCGTAAACGATAAGATAAACAATCTAGCGCATCAGTATGAGTCCAACGGTAGCCCCAACGCTTAACGTTGTGTAACTCGGACCGATAGAGAAATCCCCCGATCTAACTCGTTGGGACACCACCAACCGTATCTGTGCGCAGTAAGTACAAGGCACTGCTAAGATTAAAAAAAAAAAGTACCCGCAAAGGTGTACATCATCGGTCTTACCTTGGCGCGAGAGTATGACGATCGACACCATTTCCGGCAGATTACCACCCGCTGACAAAAAGGTGATTCCCATGACGGAGTCGGGAATACCAATCGTGTCTCCCACGACCGTCGTCATCCACGAGACGAGGTAGGACGATATGGCGATCCAAATAACGCACATGACAAACGTGCAAGGGTAGAATTTTCTTAGCCGTTTGTACCGGCTGTCCGGTATCGTTACGAAGAGGACGAATTTCAGGGGCCACGTGAAGACGAACCACAACTTCTCTGGCGACGTGCACTTCGATGGCCACGAGAATATCGTTTCTGGAAAATCATTGACGAGAATTTTTGATTTGGTATATACATCGAGAAGTTGAACAAAAATATTTTTAACCGCACAATTAAATTTTACCAACGCGTATAGTCTACGAAAAGATTAATTTTCATTGTTGTGAGTAAAAAAAAAAAAAAAAAAAAATTATCAATCGCAACATCATCCTTGAACCCGTAATCTTTTTTGATTGCAAGCGATAATAACAGGGTAAGCCAAAAGTTGTACCTGGCTCCTTGTAGACCTCGGGAATCGGCGTGAGGTAATCGGCGCCAGCCTCGCCGTTGGACCGAGCTTTTAATTTGCGCAAGCTGTTCCTGTACTCGGTCACAAGTTCCCCGTGGAAGTACGGCTTGTAAGTTCCAAAGGGCATCGCGTCGCTTTCTTGCTTCACGGTTTCTGAAAAAAATGTTCAAAATTGCTCGTTGTACTGATAATTCGTCCTCTTAGCTCAGGCTTTCGTACGAACGGAAAATAACTTAATCATCAGGCAATTGGAGAAAAAAAAATTTATTACTGTTCATGAGCAATTTTGGAATGTGTGTATGTCGTTGCTCGAATAAATGTAATGGACGACGTTGTTTTGGATAATTTAACGGGTTTAATTTTAATTCATGTCATTTGCTCGATGTTAAAGTTGGTACGACAGAGTTTGTAAAACACACGAGACTATTAACGTAATTGCTTCGTCCAAAAATAAGCGTAAAACACTTGTCAAACAAAATATTAGGCTTTTGAACAAATTACATTAGAAGAGACCCTTTTCCTGAAATAGATTTTCATTTAGAGACAATATTTACCTTCTTTGGCGTCAGGATCAGGGGGCGTGGGCTCCACCTTGGGGTGAGCAAACATCCTTCGGAAGGTCCGGGCAATACTGTCGTTTACGAATAAGAGGGTAAAGTAACTGAAGAACAAGATGAGCAGGACTACGGACTCGGTTAGCGTCACGTAGCCGTCCCACATGACGAAGACGAGGACGCCCACGGACAGCGCGTATATGATGCAGTCCCTCGACAGGATTTGCCATTTTAGCCGTATACCCTGCGGATCACGGTCTATTGTTATTTTTATTCTCGTCGGTGCATGCGAGTTGAAAAATTATGTCTGTATTACTTTTTTTCTACGCTATTGCGCGCTTCGTAAGGATGTTGTTATGTTACGTGGAAATTAGGGTTTAAACTGTCGCGACGAGTAAATGAAGATTGCTGCTTACATAGAACATAAATTGTACGTGGTATAATTGTCTACAAATGCTATTTGAGTGTGTCATTGAATCGCACGAGTAGGATGGTTTTATTGGCGTCTTACTGATATTTAGGTCAGAAATAAGTGGACGTAAAAATAAAACCAAACGTTGCACTCGTGTTTTAAATTTGTACACCATCCCCATCAAGGATTAGCGTGATTACTTGCTCAAATACATCACCATACAGTTTTTAATCAAATTGCAATAAAAACAATATTTTGAAAGAAAAAACATAAGAATACTTGCTTAAATATTTTAAAGTAATTTTTAGTCTCAACAATCATATGCATCCGCCTTTTTTCAGAAAAATTCCTTGTTGGGGTTTGTATTGCGAATAAAAATAAAGAATGATTTTTCTCGCAAAAATAACTTGATAAAAAAAGAAAACAAAGGTCAAACCTGAGCAGCAAAGAGCGCTCCGACGGCGGGGGTGGCGAATGTGTTGAAAACAGCTCCACCGACGACGGTGCCAATACCGAGATCGGACTCGGTGAGAAATGTGCCCACGACATTGATGAATAGCTCGGGGAAACAACTGGCCGTGGCGAGGAACGTGGCCCCAGCAACATCGGCGCTTATCCTCAGGTCGGCGCAGATGCAGTCGAGGGACGGCAGCAGGTAGTCGTTGCACACGTACGCCGTGAGGAGGAAGCAGTAGAGCCCGAACAGGACGTGCAGGGCAACCGCACCGCGTTGGCGCTCCCACCTCGTGAACAGGTCCTCGGGAAAGTCCTCTATCGAGTGGTGGGAGCAGTTTTCGTCCTCCACCACCGCCTCGAGGATAGCGGCTGATTTTTTCGGTTGGGACGAGCTGGCATTTTCGACGCTTCTTGGCAATGCCGGTGCTGTTGATCATAATTTCATTGAGCGATAAAAGGGGTAACTCGAGGTGGTTTACGCGAACATTAAAGGAGACGACGAAAAATGTACTTTTCGGGGTTTTATGGGTAAGCTTAAATGACGATTGCAGTTATTGAGTACGGATGCGCCGCTTCGCCTGACGGTTTTTGTGTGCAGTGATGCAAAGGACAACGTCTCTATAGATAAGATAAACAAATCCGACTTACGTGAAAATAAAAGCCGGGGAAAAATATATATATATATATATACACAAAAGTATCACAGAGTTTTAATAATTCGTTCAAATACTTTGTAATAAGTTGCACTTTTTCTTAAATTGAAATGAAAGTATTGTACCAAGAGAAAAAGAAAAATTATAATATGAATGAGGAAATTAGTGTGACGTATAAGGACTTGTTGAACTTATTTTTGTGCGAGTTATGTCTTTACAATTTTAATTTAATTTTTTTTAGTCATGTACACAAAGACACTGCCAAATTTCTTGATCTTATCTATCGATACGTTGTTAAAAAGATAGTCAAATAAATCTTCAAAAAACCGAGTCTGTTTTTGTGATATTACAGGTAACAACAGTTCATCATAAAATTTACAAGCTAATCGGCACAGAACAACTCGTGTTCATCGTATGACTTCGAGACATAAACTCAGTGGGTGGATCATTCTACAAATTGGAATCAGATTAATTGCCAGGCTAATGTCAAAAGAACGCGCGCTCTTTCGAGTCGATGGATTAAGAACAACGCAGTCATAAACGCGCAAAGCGCGAGCCGAAGATTTTGTTTGTTTTTGCTTGTATAAATCGTCATTGCGCAATTATGCATATTGTAAAGATTACACGCATTTCTTTTTTTTTTTAATCGGCTAATCGATTAACCAGATTCCATTTGGTTTGATTGAATGACGGATCGAGTCAACCAGGTGTCTGGCACGTACGGAATATAATATCTTTAAGAATAAACTAAAATTCTTAATTTATTTGTAGTATTTGCAGGTTTCATGTTTTTCACTTTACTTATAAACTTGAATCTTTAAATTAAAACATAAAAAATTGGTACACCATAAATACATGTGTATTTATATTTGGCAATCAACATTGATGAATTTTAATCTAATCAATTGACAGTGACAACCAATTGTTATCAGTACAAATTTTTACGCTATTTGTATATTTATCTTTCACTACTTGAATTCGATTCCGAGATTTGATAGAAAAAAAATTTTGCACGTCCCTTTTTTAAAGATAACAGTTTTATAACTTTTTAAAGCAAGTACTATAGGAATAATGTGATAAAGCTCAAATTTTATCTTTAAAAATAAAAAATGCTGAAAAACTCCTTTTTTTAAAAAGGTTAAATGTAAATAATAATTAAAAAGATTAAAATAGAAAATTCTGGAAATGACTACAATATTTTTTGCTTTTTCCTGTGATTAAAAGCTCAAATTATACAAGAGATAGTATCGTTAAATATTTAAGCTCTTTTTTTAGTCCAAGGGAATTTATTTTAATTTACAAAGACAATAAATTGTTACATAAGTAAAATGCATTCATTTATTCATTTTATTCGTGAGAAAGTCGATGTACTTACACTTTTTTTTTACATTGTATAATAATGCAGAAATGTGTTTTATATAAAGAGCAACATCAATGTTAAAAAAAGAAAAAAAAAACAGCTCCATAATAGTTTAGTATATAATGTACTAGGTAAATATACTCAAGTATAGATAATATTTGATTATTTCGAGAATGTTCACACTGATGTCCTTCTTACATATTTATGATGTTTTTGTTTGTATACCATTTCTTTCTTCGATAATTCATATTTTACATTTTTAGAACAAATAAATGTATCTGGAAATATTTCTGCTTGTATTTCTGTACTACAGTATTGTAATATTACTTGTTATTTTTAATATTCACTTAAATGGTAGGTTTACAGAGCATTTTACCAATCGGTTTATATTTCTAAACAACACGTGATCAATAATAAATTACTAAAAAATTATTTTTCATTAAATTATATTTTATATTATTATATTGTATAAACTGTTAAATAGAATAACAAATAAGATAATGTTTAAAAATGCAAAATGGTTTTGCTGGATATCAAACTCTTAAAAATGTGTAAGAATGTACAGTAAAATGTATAGATCATATCGAGTAATTGATTAAAACGTCTTTAAATTTCGATAATTGATAATATAATTATATGATTTATTTTTCTTAATCTACAAAAAACGACGTGTGTGTACACCAAATAAGAGATATGACTCGCACAAGATGGTATTTGTAAGAAAAGAACAATTCAGGTATTCCCAGTACGAAACTTTGTATGAAAATATCAACTGACAAAATAACTACCTGCGGTATATTTTGTGCCACGCAAGACACATCGACGACAAATGACTTTGAGCAACCACTTTTAATCATCCTCGTACCCCAATTAACGAACTCTTATCGAAAAAATTTGTTTTTCCGCCAAGCTCGCCAATACATTCGACTGAATTAAATGCACTAGGAAAAAAAAAAAAAAAAAAAAAACATAAAATTAGCCCAACAGCGAAGCGCAACTTTGCACTACACGAGAGAAACCGATGTGCTCCTCGGGCCACACCGAGCTTGTTAATTATTCATGAAAACAAAAATAATCAGTCACACTGTCACCCAGCACCGAACCAGAGTGTAAAATAAATGTAGAAAAAAAAAAGAGAAATGACCACACATTTCCAGCGTGAAAATAAATAACTTCCAAGCTCCTTACCACTTTTGGCACCCAAGGTGTGCGCCTCGAGAGCACAGGGCAACGTGCCAGCTAGCAGCAACAGCACCAGCAACAGGTTCTTGTTCCGGTGGATCGGCAGAAAACGCGAACCCATCGCGGCATCCTCCATCCAAAAGATCGAAACCTAACGGAAATCCTCTCTCGCCCCCCCTTACCTAATTGTTACAAATCACTAGTGTCGCACAAGCACTGAACCACCGCAAAAAAGGAAAAAACTTTTTTAGTCTGCGCGACAACCGGTCAAGGAGCCATGCTCCGGAGGTTCGATCGGTATAGGTACACCAAGCACACGCCTCAGCCGCGGATGCGCGACTGACTGTCGACTGCAGGCCGCGGCCGACTAAACCTCCCCCTTATACTTACTTATCCGAGTCCGATCCGTCTGTCACTCAAATGTATACTCCTAAATGACCCGTATCTCTTACTCATTCACTCACGAGAGTGACACCTGAGACTTTGGTATACCTCTCTGTGTGCGTGGGTGTTTAATTGTATTTATCTCTCTCTATACCCACTTGTCGTATACGTGCGAGTTTTTCACAGTACTCATCGATGTCGTTTATCACTGTATCTCTCACTAAATACCTTCGATTTTTCTACGTATTTTTCATCCGAGCGTGAGAAAGCCGAGCTTAGTAGATAAGTCGTGGACGTGGCCGTTGCGTTGCCTGTATATATTATCGATGACCTTTGAAAACGTGACTGAACGTTAATTTTAATGGTTAACGAATGAGAAAATTTTTTGGGTAGAGTATTACAATGTTTAAGTTAACGAGCTCATCGATATCAGTTCCAGAAAATTGTCTGATAAGGATTAAAAAAAAATTTGGATAACGATTCCTTCCAAACGCATCGTTATCTGTGTGAATACGATCGCCTCTAATTGTAAGCGGGGATAGGTGCATTTTCGGGATATGCGATTGGTCGTATAGGCCACGTAATTTAAATGTATTTGTCCAAGGCAAAAGCTAGACTGAATAGAACTTTTTTTTTTTCCACTCAATTTTCGAGGTCCAAAATGCCGGAAGGTGCCTTTCGTACGATAACACCTAATAGAAGTGCAGAGTTCCGAGATCGATGTGATTTATTGCATTGATGATATTTTGATCACTAAAACATTTGATGATTTACAAGCGTAATTGAAAGCGCATCGACTTCGGCGTTATCTGTAGTATGTCGAATTGAATTATAAAAAAGATCAATAAGCAGGAAGTCCATTTACTTGTTTAATATCGTAATAAGGTTAGATAAATAATTTAGTATTATTACTGTACTCGTCTCAACAGATGTGGATATTTATTTTGTTGTATCAATATTGTCATAATCTTTTTTTTTTATGGAAGTAGAACAAGACTTTATCTTAAGGTGAATTCATGAAATCATTAATTATTTCATGAATACAATTTTTTAAGAGTAACATCAATAGATTAATTTTTAAACAGTAGTTTATTGTAATAGGCTTTATCAATTACTAAAAAAAAAAATT